TCATATACATACAACACGTGACCATTGTTTGTCGATACAAATTACTGACTTAAGTACGGATGGAAGAATCCCTAAACGCTTTTCGGTATTATGATATCCGAACAAAAACAGTTTCACTGTAACAAACTGCGCCAAGTCCACGTTCATAAAACTCATCTCAATACATTTGCACTTTACAAAAAAATAAGACTCATTTCAATAACTTTCATTCTCTACAAAAAGATGTGAAATACAAAAAAATACCAAGAAACCGTCATAATGTTGAAAAAATTAATAAAAATTTGTTGAAAATTTAATAATGAAAACAATTTTTTTTTATCGCACTTGGCGCGCGTCATTGAGTACCTCAAATTTTTTCGGAAGAATTTCAACCCGAGAAAAAAAACCATTTTGCTTTAATATACAGTGAAAGCTGTAAAAAGTTACCCAGGTTGTCTTTTTCGCTCTTGTTAGCGTTTTATGAGAAATTGAGACAGAACTACGGTAATTTTCAGCAGCTTTCACTATATATGGGCTATTATATGCCAAATCGACCACTTTTGCGTTCGACCCCTTTAGATTACGCGCGCCAAGTACGACAAAAAAAATTTTGTTTTCATTATTAAATTTTCAACAAATTTTTATTAATTTTTTCAACATTATGACGGTTTCTTGGTATTTTTTTGTATTTCACATCTTTTTGTAGAGAATGAAAGTTATTGAAATGAGTCTTATTTTTTTGTAAAGTGCAAATGTATTGAGATGAGTTTTATGAACGTGGACTTGGCGCAGTTTGTTACAGTGAAACTGTTTTTGTTCGGATTTCATATCTTTTTGTTAAGTATTATTTTTTGCTCATTTATTACTTAACAAAAATAGACAATAGAATAAAAATAAATTATAAATAGTCACTCAGCTTAAAAGCTAATGAAACGCTCAATTAATTAGTGTTATAATAATCAACATCAACTTTTACAAATTTAAACCGAATTAAATTCATCCCAGTTGATTAATGTCTCAAATTAATCATCTTCATTTCATTTCACTCTATAATATAATTTTTCATAAAAATATGAATATAAATTAAAATAAGACATGACTTAAAGGTCTCAGTTACCAGGTCATAAAATCCATTAAAATGTAGGAATAATTCCAGCGCACCCTGGCGGCCGTAGATTACCATGTATTCTCGAATTATTTATAGTCTGTGGCATGTCACTTTTTACATCGAAAAAAGTCAGGATCGAAATTTTTGAGCGAGCTATAGTTTGTGGTGATAAAATTAATAATTTCAAGTAGATTAATTGTTGTAATTGATATAACTAGTTAAAATCAGTAAAATAAAGTTGTGAGTGATTGATGTAATGTACAATTTAGGAACCAGAAGTACCGTAGAATTAAATAAAATTTCGCAACCTCAAAAAACCGTTCTGCCTACAGTAAACACAGTCGGTAGTCTGGCGCTCCGTTTACAACGGGATTTTTGAACGGAACTTGGCGCCAGATTCTACCGAATCTGTGGATTTGAGAAATGGTTTATTTATTAGAAATGAATTAGAAAAAAATAGAACTAGAAAATAATTGAGGATGGGCTTAATTATTAATTTCTCAGTCCTCTCGATGGGTCAAGAGATCGTTAACCTAAGTAGAGTTATAAAAACACAAAAATAAAATTCTAAAACGCTATAGATTGAAATATTAGTCCAAAAAACCACAGTTTTGAGAAGAATCCATGAATTATTTATTCGTCAACACATTTTTTTTTTAATTCGCCATACTTCTCCTTGCGTTGTGGTTCTCACTACTGAGGATCGTGACCTGTACGAAGCACTTTTGTTTGGACTATGCTCCTCCATTCCTTCCTGACCTCTGCGCATTGGATAGCGTCATTGATGCTGGAGTCCAATGTCGTCTTAATTTGACCGAACCAGCACATGAAACTACGCTCCCTAAGCCATATACTTTCCACTTTGCCGGTGATCAGTAGTTTTTCGAGATTGTCATCCTTTTTCTTCGGAACGTGACCGAAATACTCGAAAATCCTACGTAGGCAAGTGGTGAAGAGTCCTGTGGAGACGACTAGTTCTTCTAGGATTGATGCGTTGAATCTGTCATTAGTCATCTTTAAAAACCTGATGTGTGGTGTCGTGGGACACCGGATACTAACGAAGTTCCTTATTATAAAAATGTTAATTTTAAGTTCTATTCGAGGTATAAAGAAAATGATTATTCGGGTATACATTTTCTATTATGATTTTTTTATTGATAAAAATAAAAATAAAAACTACTTTACAAAGTTATCAACTTTATTTTATTCACAATGGTTTATAAAAATATATAATATACAAAGAAACAGCTTCTTATTTGAATAATAACAATAACCGTCATCACGTAGACTATACATTAGACACTGTATAGCCATCATACTAAGACTATACATAAATAACAAAAATCTTACGTTACGGACGTTTTTTCCCGGTTAGGGTACCCCTCCGCATCGTCCCATAAGTAACTTCGTTCCAAAAACCTTCTCAAAAGTGTACTTTCTTGTGTACACCCGGTGAACTCGACATCGTCTTTAATTAATTTCGATCAACAACCGTATTAACGAATAATCTAAAATCAATTACGTGAGCTGTCGTAAAACATCCCCATAGGTACTTCATTATCGTTAAATCATGCATAATAAATTCCTAATGCCCCGGTAATAAGCGCCATAATCCCCTGATATAAGCTGCTTGATCCCACAAAGGAAGCACCACTACGATTACAGTTGCCCAAAATTAGGGGGGAAATGTGGAGTGATATTACAAAAACACAATTATATTTTGTTCTGATTTCAAAACGTTCAAAAAGGTTTTTGTCAATTTGGAACAAACTGTATCGATTAAATTTTTAAAAAATATATAGAAGAAATAAATTTTATGAATTCTATTTGACTCATTATTGAGGATAGTAGTGGCAAATCTGATATTAAATGATTATATCGAAGGTCAAAGACACCAGAAATAGAAGTCATTCGTCTTGAAAGAATCGAAGTCTATTGAATAAGACACATCAGGATGCTATTCTTCAAGTAATTAAATACTAAGAGAGTGTTACTAACTTGTATCCAAATTTTGACAAAATAATGAAGTAAGGCATCCACATTTTGGATTGTAACGTATTTTGCATTGGACTTTTTTTTATTATGAATAAAAAGGACTTTGAATCCAATTTCGTGTGGGATTAGTTAAATAAGCTTGATACACTGCATAGTATTTAATTTTTACCTTTTATCCATAATTGCCAAGAAAGTAATACGATACATTTGTAGTTTTAAGGACACGCTTTATTCCCATAGACGCAGCCCACTGAGTTTCTCGCCGGATCTTCTCAATGGATCGCGATTCCGATTCGGTGGTAGATTCAGCAAAGCACTGCTCTTGCTGGGCCTAGTCTCAGCAAATTCTCTCAGGTTGAGCCCGTGAGCTCACCTATTCGTTCGGGTGTAATCGGAAGCCTCTTAGACTACCAGTGAAAAAGTATGGAAAAAAACTTACTACTTAACAAAATAAAAATATTTAAATTCATTTTTCAACTGTATGGCCAAAGTATCGGTACATACTTGATATGCGCCCAAATTTTGAGGTTAATCGCACGTCTTAAATTTACCTCGATATCAAATAATCAAATTGGGTTAAAAATAGCGACAATTCATTCGAAGAACAAGAAAGTGAAGAGAAAATGGAACAATAAGAAGAAAAAAACGGACTAATAAATTTTGTTGTACAACTCAATCCTTACTTCAGATTTTCAAATACCATAATCCCACAAAGGCATTTATATCCCGTCGATAGCGCACACCCCCAGTGTCAAATGCTCATTATATTGTCACTCTATGACAGAACGTGCATATTAAGCCTCGCCTTATTGACAAACTTAGATTTGCTGTTATACGCGAAAATTTTATTGTCCTTTTCTGACAATAAACTGCCTGACCAGTATCACTCCGATTTTCTGACTATATTAATATGGCTATTCTTATTAACTAAAAATAAATAGACACTCATATCGTACTGTTCGTGTCGAGATCAATTTCTTTTTCTTAGATGACAAATGTCATATTCCAGATGATTTTACAATTTAAACCATCAGTTTACGGATACAAACTTGCGAACTTTGACACGTCCATTGAATTTGGAATTCTATTTTACTGGAAATAAGATGTAAAGTACTCTAAGCTTTTGTTTTTCGTCGTCACGATTAAGAAGAACAATAATTTGTTAAATAGATGTGCTAATTACGAATAAACTACAATATTAGTTTTCCAAAAGCATTATAGCCATAATGATCTGAATGAAAAAACTTCGCAAAAGAACATTGATAATTTTGTTTGTGCCAATTTTGATAAAGTCAGTTGGTTTATGGACGAAAAAAACGTTTTCGAATATAGTATTAAATAAAGATGAAAAGTAATTACACAAAATCTAAAAACGGATTCAAGCAAAGCCGCGAACTATAATGAGTTCTGTTGAGGCAAGTCTTCAACTGCACAGAATTATTGGCAAAGGGTGCGAATCCGAATTTGCTTTGATGTCATATTAACCGCAGGGTGTCCGTAATATGATGTGAGGTAATTAAATTTTCCCATGGTCTTATGGGCAGACAATATCTCACAATGTGATATTAATTTTTTTATTATAAGGAGCGTGTATTATAATGAATGTGTTGAGATATAATTTATCGATAATTACTTGAGTCAAGGGAACACTTAGAATAAGCTGAGCCTTCGTTATATATTTTCCTAATAAATAAATCGAAGCCTGACTCAATTATTATACCTAGATACTCTTAGCCAATTGAATGTAATCCCAAAACAATTTATCATCATGCTCCCTTGAACATACTAGCATCATCATACTCTTGCATGTCTCGGCGGATTAAGCTGCTTATTAAATAAGTTAAAAAAAACTCGTAAATAGCAATTCTATATTCCAAATACAAAACACTGATACAACGTTATCAAAAGAATTACACAATTACTCATACGCCTCATCTTCTTCGACAACATCCCACAAGAATCGACTATTAAACTCGATACTTTTCGATCTGTCCAAAAATCGATTATCCATATCGATGTGATTAGATTCGTCTGTCAATTTATCATCAATTGGATCCGGTATCGATTCTAGGTCATCTTCGAGAAGCGATGTCACAGATAATAGTGTTGAATCCGTAATGTTGAACGTGTCACCGGCATCTCCGCTTTCGGGCAGGCTCCTTGTTGTCCCAAGGGTCTGAGAGAATTTGAAATATTTATAGAGAACTAACTGACCCGGCAGACTTCGTAGTGCCTCAATCGATAAATAAAAGACCTCACTTTTGTATAAAATAAACTTAAAACAAACAAAAGGAATACGTCCGACGGGGGACACATCAAAGGAAAAACAAAATTGTTATTTTTGTTTAATTCCTAGCATTTTCATATTTATCCTACCTTTTAAACCTTCTCTGGACTTCCACAAATAATTCAAGACCAAAATTAGCCAAATCGGTCCAGCCGTTCTCGAGTTTTAGCTAGACTAACGAACAGCAATTCATTTTTATATATTATTGTATAGATTGAAATTTGATATTCTGCTACTAAAACCAACTGAAGGAATTATCGAGATGTACTTGTAGTAGATAGATCTTGCGTTTGTACCGCAAATGGGATTTGAGAATGGGAGTTTCATCCAGGTAGGCATGGGAACTTGGGGATTTAATCCCAAGAATGATTACACCCGTTTAGTGATTCGTTATTAAGAAGAAAATGATAAAACCAGTCCAGTCTACATTAGCAAGCATTTTCACAGCTAATTAATATCATTAATTCAATAAAATTATACTTAAACTTTATGTAACTTAAAACTTTAAAACTAGATCTATTAAGGATTATACATGGTAATTACGGTACACAAATAAAGGGGGTACAAAAATTTGTTCAACCCACAGTCTTCAATTTTCCGCATTTCCACATTCCCTACAAAGCTATTATCTTTAATTATCTTTATTAAAGTTATATCGAGAACTTATTTATAAATAAATAAAAAAGTATAAAAAAACTAACAAAATACGCTTTTATAGAAAATCCAACTAAAAAATAGAAAATAAATTTTAATAAATTTGATTTCAAAATAGTGTAAAAGAAAAAATGATTTTATTGTAAAAACCGTTTTCTATTTTTTAGTTGGTTTTTTATATAAAAGCGTATTTTTATATTAGTTTTTTTAACTATTGTTTATTTTTCATTTTTTAGTTGAATTTCAATTTTTTTAATTATGTGTTGTCATCGGTCCATAATAGGTATACCGAATTTTGAGTTAATCCGACGTTTTGAAGGGGGTCAAAATCATGTTCAAAGATTCCGTTACATACATACGTCTGAAGCTAATAAAAGCGTATTAAAAACTTGGTAAGGACCCGTGAATATTACATATTCTTACAAGCTTTTTCAAAATCGAAAAACCCAACGAACTCACATCTATTATGGCCATGTGTAGTATTGGTACTTCTAGCTTCAAAGGCTTGATCTCTTGGGGTTCTTCGTCCAAGTAGGAAAAATCTGTAGGTACCTGTTCCAATGAAAGTTAATGCGGAATGTATATTGAGTATAAGTGCCCTTTTTATTTCACAAACGGGTGAATAATCTCACGGCTTTCCTCTTTTTAAATGGTTATCGAAGCCCATACACATAACAACGTGTATTAGGTCACCCACGTTGAGAAGAGGCAGGTAGAAATAGGCAGGGCGATGGTTATCTACCAGTAAGGGCTCGCAATATACTTTAACACCACTAATTATGCAAATAATAATTTGAGCGGGTTTCATTTGTATTATATTATCACACGATGTTCATCTTTTACCATTGGAAGTCATTCGTGAGCATTTGTAAAGTACGTATTTCAGTAAAAATATTGGTACCCGCCTGCGGGATTCGAACACTGGCACAGTCGCAGGAGTTCACCGGGCGTGTTATCATTTAGGCCACGACGACTTCCTAAATACTAGAGATGGATAATCAGGATGTACCAGTAACAGTTCATGAAAGATAAGATTTCTAACTCAAAAAGTAAACAAAACGAATACTTCTGACCTATTCCTTAAAAAACCACATAGCAGTATCAATTTGGGCTCGACCAATAATAAACTCTTTTTTATTTATTTATTACTTAGATGGGTGGACAGCTCACCTGGTGTTAAGTGGTTACTGCAGCTCATAGACATATACAAAGTAAATGCGCCACCCACCTTGAGATATAAGTTCTAAGATCTCAGTATAGCTGCAACGGCTGCCCCACCCTTCAAACCGAAACGCATTACTGCTTCACGGCAGAAATAGACAGTGTGGTGGTACCTACCCGTACGGACTCACAAGACGTCCTACCACCAGTACCTCGTTCTCATAACTACTTTTAATTTAAATTGAACATTACTAAGCGTGATACTGAATCGAGGGGATATTTTCGTGAGGTCATTAAAGGCGCCGATACCCTCCGCAGTCGCCATTTCTCTAGAAACTCGTTTGTCTGACGTATGGCCTCTTTGCTCTCATTCAGTAATTCATCTATACGATCTTTGGCTCGATACTTTTTGTACTTGTTTAAGAACTGAAACGAAACAAGGAAAATATTAAGGTACACACACACACACACAACCTAAGATATATTCCTGAGTAAAAATTCGTCAATCTATATTACTTTATGTTAGTCTATTTCGAGGGGTGAAGGACTATGTGGTTCAAGCGACATTTCGCTTGACACGTGACATTTATCTATGTTATCAAAGGTCCGTTTTATTTAGTACTAGCGACCCGCCCTCGCTTCGCTTCGGAAACTTTAAATGTTATTATTGGTAGCCGAGACCCGCGATGTTACCCGCGGTTATTGTCGTGCCGCGGGTGACGCCGTATGTTAAAGCTAGTCTAAAAAAAGGAGCCTAAGTTACTCCATATATCATCAGCTACCTATTAGTGAAAGTCTCATCAAAACCGGTCCAGCCGTTTCAGAGATTAGCGGGAACAAACAGACAGACGGACAGACAAAAATTGTAAAAAATGTTATTTTAGTGTATGCACCGTATAAATATTTATATGCATGTAGTAAAAATCGGTTATTTCAATACTAGAAACAGACACTCTAATTTTATTTATATGTATAGATTAGGATCAATAATTCAATGTTTTTAATCTAACAAATCGAATTGGATTCAAATAGCTGAAAGAAGCATTTTTCATGGTAATTTTTCCAAACTTGGAACTTTAAATGGCTCTCCGGTAAAGATTCAAAAATGTCGCTTAAACTAAACAGCCTTTCACTTCTCGATTTTTTTATTGTATCATAAATAAGGGCTATACGTTAAAGATAACGTTTCTTTGTCAACAACACGTAGATACAGTTGATCAGAATTCACAGGTTGATCAGAATTCACAGGTTGATCAGAATTCACAGGTTGATCAGTAATTCACAGATTTTTCTGGTTCATTGTTGTGTAGTGTTAGCTTGGAATGGAACCACCACGTCTCTTCTCGGGGGTGCCGTAAAAAGCTACTAAAGCTTTCCCCTGTGAATGTTCAGCTGCATTCTCAGAGTATCACACCGACTTACAGCGATGGCCGATAGGTAGTTTCTGGTCTTTTAGCGTATTGTAAGCCTCTGAGGACTTATCCTGACAGGTTGACAATACGACCTGAATTTATAATATTATATTGCTCGATATACTCTTAAACAACACCAACTTTTATCTACAAATTAATTTTATTAAAAGTACAAAGCACAGTGAGCTTACAAAGCATTAATATTCCTAACCTAAAAGTACATGTTATTATCCGCAACATGCTTCGTCAAAAAGTACAATACTTACTTTCAGCTGCAAGCGTCGTCATAAGTAACATATAGGTCCACGCTAACAGGAATGCGTGCGTAGGCATCGGCTAGTCAAACAAGCCACTCTGGATCGCACCCGGCCCGAAAGTACCCATTACGGTAGTAGCATTGCCACGCTGTATGGCAATGGATAACCTCTGAACCAGGTACGTCCCAGACCGAGGATCGTGGCCTTGCCCTCTGAGGGCAAGCCTCGCCCTCTGAGCACTTTTATCTGAACTATATCGACGTTGGTTTTAAAATGTCAAATACGACAATACTCACGGCAATAGTCAATGACAAAACCAGTATTTCGATGAATATGACCGGAATGCTAATCGGATTCTCCTTGCCAACTAATTGCGTTTTTTTCGCCTCCTCTCGCAATGTTTTCTTCACGAAGCAAGCTATCTTGCAGAATATCGTTTGGAACATATCAACGAAACCATTGCCTAACAAATAATCGACCAAGAATAAACTTAAAAAGACGAAAGTGTACATCAAAGTGCTCAACGTTTGTACCAGCATTTTGATTTGGTGAACGGAAAATTTTAAAATTTTGTTACTTTCACATACTATAGCGTGCGGCACGTCGAATTTGTCAGTGTATAATGAAATGACGTCAAATCATGACGTCTTTGACAGGCGTCAACGTGATTGCTTATTTTGAAATGTAAATAGAACATGGCTTGCCTTTTCACGCCGAGTTTTTTTTTGTGGCTTGGGTTTGTGAACGAGCTCAAGACCTACCTGGTGTTAAGTGGATGTCACCCCTTCAAAATGGAAAGCATTACTGCTTCGCGGCAGATATAGGCAAGCTCTTTACGAAACGCCCGATCTACTTGAATAAGATAATAGCTTTTAATTTTTGTCTCTTGTTCTGTCTAAACACTGAAGCGATTAGACCCATTTTCAATGGCAGATAACTCAGGGATAGGATTCTGTGCAAAAAAACCTACTAAATCTTTAACAAATCGAATTGAAAATTAAGTATTAGTGCTATCACACAGAGTCGCATACAAGCGCTATAAGTAAGAAAAACCAATGCTGAGTTTGCTTGTTTAAACTTGATTCAGAGTTAGACAGTGACCTGGCTGTGCTCTGGGCATTAGTAATGTCCATGGGTGATAGTAACCACTCGCCTTCAACTGGGCCGTTATTCCACTAAATCAAACAAAACATTTACTTTAAACTTTTTGACGTGACAACGTCTTATAAATTCGATGGAGCCGGCTACACGCACGAAAAAACATGACTCATTGAGGCGTTCCATTTAAGGCTTGAAGTGCAAGCGAGAGCGCGCAACGAGCGACAAAGAGGCAAAATCGGCTTCCGCGTTCAACAGCGTTCGACATCTGTCTCTCTCCTACTTGAGTGAGCGATGCGCCCGCGTGGACAGCTGCTATACAATAATACATTTTCATGTTTTCGTCAAGTATGAAGTTCAGTGAAAAGTGAATGTGGTGTCAATTGTCCATACAAAATATCTATCAAACAAATAAAATTAAAATTTTCTTTTGAAAAATGAAACCATTCCATCAGTTTTTTCTTATGACGTTGTCACGTTCAACTGACCGACTTTACAGACAACCGATTTTTAGCTTGTAACACGTTAACTAATGATATAGTACAATAACCCGTATCGTAATAGAAAAATATTGTCGTAGAAACCGTTGCTATGACAACTGCTTTGTTTAATCACAATCCATGACAACGATGTGTCTTCTATATTTGTTGCCAAATTCAGTTTAACAATCACGCTGCTTAAACATTAATAAATAAACAAAATGGTAAGTTTATTCTTTATTTAAATAGTCTGGATCCCTTCACAACTCTGGCATAGTCTTTATTTACTTTTTGGAATTAAATCCTGGGTTAGATCTGGGTAGTGACCATTTCGGGTTTGACCGGCCATAAGTAGGGAAGAGTCACCAGATAAGCTGTTACTCTTTGTTTATTATAAGAAATGGTCCGAAATAATACCGGTGTGAAAATGGCTACCACACCCGCTGACTACAAAATTAATTTATATGTAATTTGATTTTATTAGCTAGTGAGTATGCTCCATTATTAACTTCACCTACTATTATGTTCTGAGGAAGCATTCTAAACGATAATGAGTATTTAACAATGTTTTATAATATTTTTCAGCCGCCCAAAGGAGGAAAAGGTGGTGCTAAGAAGACGGCAGGTAAAACTTAATTGTCTAATAAGTTTAAATGCAATATGACATTAGCCCTACTGTAATGTATTTATTATTCAAATCAAATCAAATCATTTTTTTTATTCAACATAAATGAAAGTACATACTTGTTGAAAGTCAAAAAGAACTACTACTACTTTTTATTAAAACTCCGACTCATTTAAATTTAAAACTTAAAATGTTATTATGTATTGTTTCAGCCATCGTTATTGATGGAGTCGACACTTCTGAAATGACAAGAGAGAAACTAGAACAATTCACTCTTAGAGTGAAAGAAGAATTAGACAAAGAAAGGGAAGAACGCAATTACTTTCAGCTAGAAAGAGACAAGATCCGAACGTTCTGGGAAATTACTAGACAACAACTAGAAGAGGCTAAAGCTGAACTTCGTAACCGAGAAAGAGCTACAGAGGAAGCACAAGAAGAAAATGAAGCACTTCTTGAAACAGAGAAACAGAAGATAAAACATCTAAAGTACGAACAGCAAGCTGCTGCAGCCGCTTTGAGGGCGGAAAACCTCGTGGCTTTAAAAGCTGCTAAAGAAGAACACGCTGAACAAGAACTCGAGCTTTTGAATGACAAAAGAGCACTAAGACAAGAAATGAGAGAGAAAGCACTAGCTGCTCAAGACGAATTGCGGAGAGCTAAATTAATGCATGCCGAAGACCTCTCTAAGACGAGAGCAGAATTTGAAGAAAAAGCAAGACAAATAGAAGAAAAAGCTGAAAAGAAGCTTCAAGAAACTAAGGTAGAGTTGACAGTAAAACATAGAACTGAAATAGCTGAAGTTGAAGAGAGAAAGAATAAGCAACTGTCTGAGTTGATAGCCCATCATGAAAGAGCTTTTGCCGATTTAAAGAACTACTACAACGATATCACTTTGAACAATTTGGGTAAGAGCTTGAATTTTACGATTTTATTATCTTTTAGCACAGTTTCAAAATGTAACTTCAATAATATGTAGTTCAATATTTTTATAAGAATTGTAATTGTTAACGATACTTTCATTTGCTAAAAGTTTTTCAGGAAAAGATTTTACTGGTGGTAGGACCTCTTGTGAGTCCGCGCGGGTAGGCACCACCGCCCTGCCTATTTCTACCGCGAAGTAGTAATGCGTTTCGGTCTGAAGGGTAAGGCAGCCGTTGTAACTTTACTGATATCTTTAGAACTTATATCTCAAGGTGGGTGGCGCATTTACGTTGTAGATGTCTATGGGCTCCAGTAACCACTTAGCACCGGGTGGACTCGTGAGCTCGTCCATCCATCTAAGAAAAAAAAAAAAAAAAATAAGATTCCTCTTTTTTATGAAAACAAAAAAACAGAACTCTTACACATTCATAACAATATTGTGATATTAATATCCATATCCATAATAAAATATCCATAATAATATAAATATCCATATCCAAAATAAATATCCAATTTTAATGCTAAATTATTCTATTCCTAAAGGCTTAATCAGTAGCCTCAAGCAACAGATGGAAGATATGCAGAAAGTTAAAGAACGCGCCGAGAAGATCGCGAGAGATGCAGTAGCAGAAGCGAAAGGTCTTCGAGAGCCTTTAGAGGCAGCCATCATCGACAACAAGGAACTGAAACGGCAAATGTCAAACTATGATAGAGACAAAGCTGCTTTAGCTGTGAGTATTAGTAGCCTAGTGTTAAGCTGGTGTTAAATGGTTACCGCAGCCCATAGACATCTATAACGTAAATGCGCCACCCACTTTGGCGAAATTTGTATATATTTTTATATTTTTTTATTGCCTTTGTAGGCAGACGAGCATACGGCCCACCTGATGGTGAGTGGTTACCGTCGCCCATGGACTTCAGCAATGCCAAGGGCAGAGCCAAGCCGCTGCCTACCGAATGCCTGCCTATAATACAATCATAATAGTGTACGAACTAACAATTCCAATTATAGTCGAATTTCGACTACTGCGGGACCTCTAGTATTAAATTATTATTGTCGATTTATAATTGCATAAGTTGATAAAAAATGCTATGCAATAGCTTTACCGCGGCAGTCTCCGAGTGCCACACGTCTTTTTTTATTGCTTAGATGGGTGGACGAGCTCACATCCCACCTGGTGTTAAGTAGTTACTGGAGCCCATAGACATCTACAACGTAAATGCGCCACCCACCTTGATATATAAGCTCTAAGGTCTCAGTATAGTTACAACGGCAGCTCCACCCTTTAAACCGAAACGCATTACTGCTTCACGGCAGAAATAGGCAGGGTATTGGTACCTACCCGTGCCGCCCGTGCGGACTCACAAGAGGTCCTACAACCAGTAATAAGCAAATTATAATTTTGCGGGTTTAATTTTTATTACACGATGTTATTCCTTCACCGTGGAAATCAATCGTGAACATTTGTTAAGTACATAATATAATATAATGCCGTCATCAACCTTATTAACTCAATAACTATATTAAAATACAGGCAAAAACGAAACAGCTAGCAACCCTAGAGAAACAGTTCGAAGTCTTGAAATGGGAATACGAAGTGCTCCAAATACGCTTCGACAGAGTGCTAGCTGAAAGAGACGAGCTGAAGGCTAGATTTTCGAGGGCCGTACTAGAAGTACAACAGAGGGCTTCGTTGAAAACGGCCCTACTGGAAACCAAGTTGAAAAACATGGAAGCAAGAGATTTAGGACCGAGAGAATTGCATGTGAGTTAATATTTTTATTACCGATAAATGAATCCGGCTGTTTCGCCCCTCTTCCTTTTTTTTTTCCTACCTACGCTGATGGTCTTGAGAGACCATTTCAGCGTAGCCTTAACAAGTAAGTGAGCTAACGGTACTCAAACCTGACGACGTTGCTAGCGCTATCCCTAGCAAGAGCCGTGCTACGCAAAATCTACCGCCGGATCGGAAACACGACCTTAACACTTAAAACCAGGTGGGCTGTGAGCTCGTCCACTTATGTATGCGCTAAATAAAAAAAGACTTCCTCTTAACAGTAGTAACTTTTTCATGGGTTTTACATTGTACTCACTTAGTATTAATTAATTTAAAAAGGAACTGCTCAAACTCAAAGACACCCAAGTAGAAGATCTTCGGTATGAAGCCGCACGACTTCGGAAGGCGCATGATGATCTACTCGCGACTTACGAAGCGAAACTAGCGAAATTAGGAGTGCCTCCAGAAGAACTCGGTTTCAAGTGAGTAAATTTAAATTTAGCGCTATCTATGGTGTTTAATGAAAACTAATAAATAAAGTTTATCCAAGCGACATCTAGTTTGATAAAATGAAAATATTTGAAAATTGAAACGTTTGAAAGTGTATTATCGTGATTTTGACAGATGGCGCTGTTTGCAAAATTTATGAACTACAAATTTAATGTTATGAGAAAAAGTTTATATAGTACAAAACGTATCCACGAGATGTCACTATTACAAAACCCAAGATGTTATAATTTATTAAAGGTATTATTTATTTTTTCAGACCATTAAAAGCCGTTGCGGTGGCCGGAGTATCGCCTGTAATAGGTCAAGGACCGGCAGGATTAGTGACGAAAGATCAATGAATGTTAGAAATATAACTAAAAAAATTGTATAATATAATTGCAAAAGTTGTACCTATCTAAATTGTTTTGAGGAGAAATTGTAAATAGGAAAATATTTTTGAAAATCCTTTTTTTTTTTCTTTTTTCGTAATAAGCTGTCACCACCATCTAAAATCACTGATAATGCACATAGGCAGAGCCGGGCGACTGCGTACGATTTACGGCCGTTTTCAATAACCTATCTATCCCTAGTTTCGGTTACTAAAGATAGACAAATCTATATTTTTGTCCTTACTTACGTTCCAATAACCTATCGACGGGCAACAGTTCCTATCGGATTTATCTATCCATCGTCGGGAGGACGGATAGCCTGCTAAAGATAGAACGCTCATACAAATCGTGCTTACTTCCGTTTCAATATGAGNAATCTGACTTTTGGACAATGATTGGTAAATAAGAAAAACGAATTATTGACTTTGTATTCCATTGGCAGTCACAAAACTCTTCGGAACGACATCTTAGATAAATAACAGGTTAACTATTAACCTTTATTTAATGCAGGTTTTGAACCGTATTCTTTGAAGGAGACGATTATATTCAAATAAATCTGTATTGACATATCAATAATTTTTTTTTGTCCACATGCACAGATTGCCACCTTTGATAATAGACGACTCAAATAGAAATAAAAAAAATTGTATAATATAATTGCAAAAGTTGTGCCTATCTAAATTGTTCTGAAGAGAAATTGTAAATACCAAAAAATATTTTTGTAAATCATTTTTTCCTTTTTCGTAATAAGCTGTCACCGCCATCTAAGATCATTGATAATGACATTGGCAGAGCCGGGCGACTGCGTACCATTCAAGATCAAGCTATCTGATAGATCTCACAGCGATCAGCCATTGTGCTTAGTGCAAGTTTTTTAACGTTCTCGATAGCGAAAAAGTTAACTAAAATTTTTGTATGGAGTTGGAACGTTCGCCGACGTTTGCCGCTAGGGGCGCTGTTCCAATTTGAGTTAATTTTTACGCCATCGGGAACGTTAAAAAACTCGCACTAAGCACACTGGTTTCAAACGGCTATCGGAATACATCAATGATCGGAACCCATTAATATAAATAACAATATGAATGAACGAACCTTAAAATATGAGGTCGATCTTTTCGTTGACCTGCCGGTGCTAGAAAAATAAAACAATAAAAATGAAGCCAATAAGTGTTTTATTTCCTACTAACGTTTTTTTTTAGTATCATTTTAATTTAATTATGTACAAAACATTCATAAGGCAATAGTTTGAAATGAAAAGGCGTCAAACATTTTTTGAACCTTTCCGCTTGCATTTTAGCGATTTTTAATTGCATTTACAAACGTTTACTATATATTATATACTATTTATGGAATTAATATATATATTTATTTATTTTTAAATTAACAATTTTCTTTTCCATAACTTAGTTTTTGCACGTTAAGAACAAATTGAAAATGTTATTTACAACGTAATATACATAGGTAAGTGAATTTATAAAAATCAACAAGGTATTTGTATTAGAATGTTTTTTTTTTAAATACTTTTGTAGCTTAGCCATAAATAATTCACGCATTAAAAGTAATAATTTTTTTGAAAATATTTAAAATTAACAGTAATACTTAATACTTACGAGAAATGCTATTTTCATAATCTCAAAGAAACTTTGTAAAAAGTGTCGTAAATTATTAAAATAGTGATGGGTTTTGGTTTTAGAAAATATTACTTGTGTTAATTACAATAAAAACGAAAAACAATATTTAAGTATTATATAAATACAATGAAACGCGATAAGCTTGAAATAATGCATAGAACATTATCAATTAATAAATAATTCTAAATAATGATTCAAGATTCACCCTTAACTAACTACACCAGTGATTCTCAACCTTTTTTTTGTTGTGCGGCACATATTTAACGATTTCAAAATTTGGCGGCACACAAAAAAAAAGATAAAAATTATTTACTTACTACAACACACTGCATTAATAGTTTATAAAAAAAATTTTAATATACGAAATAAACTGAAATATACTTTTTTTTTGTGGATTTAAATATAGTATATTCATGTTTAAAATATTTTTCTTTTAAAATGATATAATTTAAAAACTTCAGAGGTGTCAAGGGACACCCGGATGGAACGAAGTTCCTTTCGATTAATTAGTGAAGGAATTGAATTTTTTTTTTTAAAGTTGTAATAATAAATTACGGCATTATCTCGAGAAACTGTACTCATTACGCGGACCAATCGGATACGAGCAATGTCACGCGATAAGCGCCTACACGTTGATTGGTCAGAATGACAGATCTAAAAAGTGTCGTGACAACTTTTCGTAAGAATTTTTTCCGTCTAGCCCCCTTTCACAACGCGCGATAAGGAACTTCGTTTTCAATAATATTAACATTATTATATATTCGAAAAATTTGGCGGCACACAAAAGTGCCGCGGAACAATGGTTGAGAATCACTGAACTATACACAACCAAATTGTCAGTTTTGAAAAATATAATACACATAAACTATAATTTGACATGGATTTCGTTTTATGATATCGATTAATTGCTTATACGTTCACGAAAATTGTTTACTCGCTAAAAATATACAAAGTATCCTTTGTATTCATTTCAAAGTGGCAAATTTCTGTCTTTTTATCATAGGTACCTAATATTTTTAAAAATAAAATTGAGGACGCTCTTAAGGTTCTTCGATTGTTAGTACAAGCTTAAAGTAGACTTAAGAAGCGTTTAGATTTGACTTACGTTACTATTTTTTCGTTCTTCGATACGAAAATCATGAAATACAGACACGAACTTCAGATAATTAGGTAAAGTGATCGGAATTTAAGAATTAATGGACATATAAAGGATTTTTCGCAAAAACGTCTTGGAGTATCATTTTATGTCATAATCCATTGCAATGTTACACGAGCTTTTAATTTTTTAGAGTACGCAATTTTATTTTTGGGACTTGTGTCAATAGAAGCTTAACCTCAAGTTTGTGGGGTCACCACCCGTGTCCCCCGTCCGCCATCTTGGAGAAAGGGGTGAAAACACTTTTCTCGTGATATCTCGGAAACTATGTGTCTTACAAAATAAATTGTAAAGTCATAATTTGTAGCAAATTGTTTTGCCTACAAATATGGTTACATAACTTTTTATCATCACACAAGAATGTTTTGTTATTTCAACACGTAACTTAGAAAACTGCTACGTGATACATACATTTCTTTAATTTTCAATCATATTTAATTTTAACAGTTTTAATGCTTACTTTTCTCATATAAACAATATTAGAGACATCACATCACGCAGTTAAAAAAAATCGTTTTGGACTCCCTACACCAGTTGCGGGGGCGTTAATGATGAGAATGTTTGTGGGGGGTGAGAAATAAGAATGTTAATTTTAAATGCCCAGCGAAGCGGACGGGTACAGCTAGTCTCATATAACCCGATTTCGCACAACACGGGCCTTTGTAGGAACATATATACCTACCGTGTTATAGGAGGGTTATCTGTACCTACATTCCAAGATGCGTGGCGTGTATATTATCTTTTAAATTATTTTCATAAGAAAGCCTTTTTTCTTCTCCGCAGTTATTCGGTTGAGGCAGCTATTTTGCAATACTTTGATCTCATATCTCGATAGGGTCCGGCATTTACGATGGTTCATTGCTCGCTCGATTGCAGATTAATACAAAAAGAATAATACATTCTGTTTTAACTTTGGTTAAGCAATTGGGATTTTGAAAAAACAAAATTGTTGAATTTTTTCATTGTATTTTAAAACTTTGTTATTAATAAAATGGATATTTAGTGCAAAAAAAGATGTGTGGTGTCGTGGGACACCGGATAGACGAAGTTCCCAATTATAAAAATATTAATTTAAAGTTCTATTCGAGGTATGAAGAAAGAGAGAAAGAGACAGACAGACAGACAGAGAAACATGCGACGCCGCACAGCTTACAATAGCTTACTACAGCAAAAAGTGTCGTGACAACTTTTCGTAAGAATTTATAGCAAAAAGTGTCGTGACAACTTTTCGTAAGAATTTTTTCCGTCTAGCCCCCTTTCACAACGCGCGATAAGGAACTTCGTTCCAAAAACAAAAAAAAAAGTTTTGTTATAAAACTAATATATTAATATGATCTTTCCATTTATCACAAATTTTTTTTTCTTTTCAAAAACCCTATTGTAAACAAGTTTTTTCAAAACGTATGTTTTACAAATAAAATATTCAAAGATAGTAAAATTCCGTATGTTAATTATACATCCGCTAAAGTTTCAAAAAAACGAGCGATTTTATTTTAGGTTATTGGTTGTGTTGTTAATTGGTCGTTGATTTGGTTGATTTTGTATTTGATTTTGCGAGAAATCCTTTACCGTTAACTCCGAGATGTATTTTAGCAGTATTGACATCGACGGAGCATCCGGTGGTTTTCTTTCTAACTAAAAAAATCATGATCAAAAATGTATCTTTTGTTTTAATGTTCGATTTCTATATTTTCTTCCTTGGACTATATATTCAGTACTTCTATAGGCGCGTTATGAAAAATTGATGAGAGTGAAATTTTACGATGCGCGTGACACAAAATTAACAGAAATGAAGTTGCCCACAAGTGCTCCAATACAATTGAGGTTAACTATCGTTATGTATTATTTAGTAATATAAATGACAAAATTATTATTTAATATACTTCATACTAAATATTATTAAATTATTAACGTTAAATATTTTTTATTAATTATTTATCATAAAAAAAAAAAAAAATTAATAAAAATAAAGTATAACTTCTTACGCGCGTACATAAGTACACGCACCCTTTTTTTTCATTTTGTAAATGCGCATTTTTTTTTGTAAATGAAACATTAATATATAATAATTATATTGGAACCTAAGCAGAACGTGGTCCCCGAATAAAAGATGCTATGCAAAATATATACGCATTACAAAAACTCTAGAACATTTCGTTTTGATTTTAACGAACGCCGCGTTCTGGCTTCATTTTAAATGCATTAAGCGCTCCCTTCAAGCTTAATAATAAGAAGGCATAATTTTTTGAAGTTTTTTTTTTTTCAATTCGAATAAAACATATTTACACACCTTATACATATTACGTTACAATAAGGCTTTTCGATTTATATAATATAAGTTTTCTACTGTTCAAATAATGTACCGCGGCGAATGCGCTAAACATTATAATAATGTAGCTAGCTACAAACTTAAATAAACTTATGAATCTAAACTAATAAAGACATATAGTATTTTCGGTTAATTCAAAAGTCCGTTAGGAGCTCGATGATTACGTGCCAATGAATTTTTTANACGTTACAATAAGGCTTTTCGATTTATATAATATAAGTTTTCTACTGTTCAAATAATGTACCGCGGCGAATGCGCTAAACATTATAATAATGTAGCTAGCTACAAACTTAAATAAACTTATGAATCTAAACTAATAAAGACATATAGTATTTTCGGTTAATTCAAAAGTCCGTTAGGAGCTCGATGATTACGTGCCAATGAATTTTTTAATAGTGTAGGCTTGGGACGGACGAATCGATACGAACTAATCGGCAACGCGTGCTCATGTCTCGATCTAAAGGTGCTGACTCATTCGATTAATTAACGTTACGACATTAAGAAATCTTTTTGGCGGTACGTTCCGGAGATAAAATGTTAAACATGTCATTTCGCGCCAGACAATACCTTTGGAAATCCATTATAGATACACTGAACTGAAATTTCAAAACATTAATCTCTCTCTTTACATAATATTAATGAACAGTACTTAAAGCAAAACATTTAAAGGGGATTCCCCTAAAATGTGGTTGAGTGTTGCCAGTGTTAGAAGAAAAATCTGACATTGTTTTGACAAAGGTAAAATTCTTCGAATATTTTTAACGCAACTACCCAACTGACCCAATGTGAAACACAGTTAGATGTCAAATCCTGCTTGAATTCTGCGAGGGTTTTATGAGATTCTTCCAAAAAAATCCTTATTTTCAGATCTTCAACACAATCTGCTAAGCCTTAAATTGGGGATCTAATTCTTCTAAAACGTAGAATTCTGCTAAATCTGGTCACATTGTACGTAGTGCTATCAACTTGCGCGTAAAATTCTAAATAGAGATTTATATTATTCTTTATGTCGCTTCGATTAAGAACCATAATGCTAGAACATTCTCCTGAGAAACGATTTTTATTCGAATATTGTTATTAAACCTTTACGTGGCACACTGAAGTGATTATGTCGATTTCTGTTACTAAGTGCTTAGATCGTCTAACTTTGCATTATTTTCTTTGTTAATCTATGTTTTAGTCTTTTATGTCTCTTAGAAATAAATTCATTCTAAGTATCTTTGGATTCGTCTTTCCCAGTGTCTACTAGATATTCCGGCGCCTTAGTAAGAAGATCGAAGAGAGAAATCGACATAATTACTTCAGTGCGCCGCGTAGGGCACGGGTGACCAGTCAGTCAACGCGTTAAGCATTAGAATAAGCTATTATGGAAAGGGAAAAATATAACTCCTTAATAACCCTTAATGATTTCATCAGTAAAGAAATGGGGCTCAAGCGAAGTGTATAAGTCGTGTGACGAAGAGCACTGGTATTATTGGATCGCACCAAACAAACTGGAAAGATCTAGAACATTTCCCAAGAAGTTCAAGCATTTTTTTTTTATTGCCTTTGTAGGCAGACGAGCATACGGCCCACCTGATGGTGAGTGGTTACCGTCGCCCATGGACTTCAGCAATGCCAGGGGCATAGCCAATCCCGCTGCCTACCGCTTAATACTCTCCACAAGCCTCGTTTGAAGAAGGACATGTCATAGCGCTCGGGAAACACCGTGGAGGGGAGCTCATTCCATAGCCAGATGGTAGGTACGTGGCAAAAAAGATCATTGCGTCGACGGGGTTTAAAAAACAAAATAGTTACGATACAGGATCTTGTGAGATTTTGTGGTAAAAATCCCACCAAAATGTTTAAATCACGCTCAGATATTAATCGCAATAGGTTAGGAACACGTGATCCTGTTGAACCACAGCCAAATAGATTTAAGAGCTCGAATTGTATTTCGCGCCGTTATTGGAAAGCAGAAGACATGATTGCTTCAAGAAGAAATAGGTAGGCGTTACCTACTTAACTTACAATTTGGTGTTAGCTACGCAATAATTACGCTGATTTATGAACTTTGCAGGCTCCACTAATACACGTGGACGTACTGGCAACGCTGCTTAGAAAAGGTTTTAGCTGTCTAAGGAATTTGCATCCTGAGATAATAGCATCACTCGATACCGTCTCGCATGGAACCTTTCTGTCACAACTTAAATGTCATCGTGCCATATAACAGATTTACACTAAAGACTATAAAAAGAAGTTACTAAAGACTATAAAAAGAATTAGGTATAGTCACAAATGTATTCTTCATGGAATACGGTTAGATAATAACATAAAAATGACTGTTTATGTATACAAATAAAGATTATCGTATTTAATTAAGTAACAACTAAATTGACGTGTGGCTAAATTTTCATTTGAAACTTTTTTTTTGTGCGTTAAATTTGCATTTTTTTTTTATTGCTTAGATGTGTGGGCGAGCTCACAGCCCACCTGGTGTTAAGTGGTTACTGGAGCCCATAGACATCTACAACGTAAATGCGCCACCCACCTCGAGATATAAGTTGTAAGGTCTCAAGTATAGTTACAACGGCTGCCCCACCCTTCAAACCGAAACGCATTACTGCTTCACGGCAGAAATAGGCGGGGCGGTGGTACCTACCCGTGCGGACTCACAAGAGGTCCTACCACCAGTAATTACGCAAATTATAATTTTGCGGGTTTGATTTTTATTGCACGATGTTATTCCTTCACCGTGGAAGTCAATCGTGAACATTTNTTCGTCACGATTTAAATGTCATCGTGCCATATAACAGATTTACACTAAAGACTATAAAAAGAATTACAGTCACAAATATATTATTATTCTTCATGGAATACGGTTAGATAATAGCATAAAAATGACTGTTTATGTATACAAATAAACAATATCGTATTTAATTAAGTAACAACTAAATTGACGTGTGGCTAAATTTTCATTTGAAACTTTTTTTTTGTGCGTTAAATTTGCATTTTTTTTTTATTGCTTAGATGTGTGGACGAGCTCACAGCCCACCTGGTGTTAAGTGGTTACTGGAGCCCATAGACGTCTACTACGTAAATGCGCCACCCACCTTGAGATATAAGTTGTAAGGTCTCAAGTATAGTTACAACGGCTGCCCCACCCTTCAAACCGAAACGCATTACTGCTTCACGGCAGAAATAGGCGGGGCGGTGGTACCTTCCCGTGCGGACTCACAAGAGGTCCTACCACCAGTAATTATGCAAATTATAATTTTGCGGGTTTGATTTTTATTGCACGATGTTATTCCTTCACCGTGGAAGTCAATCGTGAACATTTGATGAGTACGTATTTTATTAGAAAAATTGGTACCCGCCTGCGGGATTCGAACACCGGTGCATCGCTTCAACACGAATGCACCGGACGTCTTATCCTTTAGGCCACGACGACTTCAAAACGTGTATACATAAGTAGAATACAATATACGGTAATACAGTATATTATGTGTTATATAGTAAAGTATATAATAGTTAAATATTCTGCCTACAATTATAATAAAATTATGAAAATAAGTCAGCACCTTCAAATGAACAATACAATTATATATCTTATTTATAATCGAAGCTTTAATAAATTTTAATTTTAATTTCGCTTAAACTTTGAGCACTAGCAAATTTATTTAAACAAATAAAAATTAAAGTTTGCTAACTAATTTGATATCTATCACTTAAATAAACTATCTATTTCTTATACACCTAAAATGTATCGTGCGTCTTACGGGACATTACGAAATGCTTTTCAAGGTATCTTAATTTGTTTGCACGATTTTTTATTAATATTATATTTTTAACAAAACGGCTTGCAACAACGGCTTTATACATATAGATACGATTTATATATTTTCCTCTTTTATACAATGCGATTTTTAAATATATATATGTATATATTTTTTTATTAGCATGCGTGCATTTCGACTTAATTTTAGCATGCCAGCGTATTAAAAATCTTATACATTTTTTTTTTATTTATCACTATAGAAGATAAAATTTCTTTTACATCTAGTCAACGCGATGTTTTCGTGGCAATATTTTTTTTTAATTGAGCAATGGAATTCGGTATTCATCATTTTCATTTTGTAAGCAGTTTATTTTTATATAATGAAATGAAATGAAATGCGTTTATTTCAGGCAACTCAAGCCCATAAAATTTCACATACAATTACATAGCATCTAAATCAAAATACTATCAAATTAAAATTACAATTTATCAGAATGACTACAAAACAAAAACAAACAAAAATGAAACCAAATCAAATGAAACCGTTTTTTTATTTTTTATTGCTTAGATGGATGGACGAGCTCACAGCCCACCTGGTGTTAGGTGGTTACTGGAGCCCATAGACATCTACAACGTAAATGCGCCACCCACCTCGAGATATAAGTTCTAAGATCTCAGTATAGTTACAACGGCTACCCCACCCTTCGGACCGAAACGCATTACTGCTTCACGACGGAAATAGGCGGGGTGGAGGTACCTACCCGTGCGGACTCCCAAGAGGTCCTACCACCAGTGATTACGCAAATTATAATTTTCATTCATTCAATCAATATCAAAATTAAAATTAATAAAAGAACTAATACAATAAACAATGATATAATGTTAACTGAGTAACCGCCACCATACCAATCACTGTGTTAGATTAATGACTGTGTTAGATAATACTGTTTTCAATTACCGTATCCATTACGTTTTTTTGTTTTAAACGAGACCAAAATAATGACAATGTTAATTAAGGACCGTATCGTAATAACGTGAAAGTACTATAATTAAGTTTGTATCGAATAAGTATCAACTAAAAACATTGCCACGAAACATTATCGATTTTCTCACAACGCACAGGTATATAAAATTCTTTCGCCCTTTATATAATCACAGGCCGGATCGCCTAACGCGTTCGTGAAATGTTCTCTCGCTCTTAAAGAGGCAGAGAGATTGGAACGACAGCCCACAATCAGGATCACGATGTAACCCACAATAATCTTCACGAATGTTTAATCAGTTCACCAATTCTCGTGATGAATCCTGTAGCCATATCCGCCCGTTCAAGAGTCCTGTCATCTGAAATAGATACACGAATAATTATGAGTACAAATTTGAGTAAAAAAATTTAAATGGGTAAATGGGTATCTTCGAAACAAAAAAAAGGCTTAAATTATGAAAACCATGAAAAGCTTGACAACAATAAAAACTAATTTAAGGAAATCAAAAGATTACAAAAACAATTTTGAAAAAAAAACAAAAATCGCTTATTTTTTTTGTTACTATATTTTGAGAATAGAAAAGTTAAGGACATCAACGGGCAAGTGCGAGGCGTTTTTTTTTTAATAGTCGTGTATTTAATTTTGTGCATGATATTTACGTCGAAGCGTTAAGCAAATACGTGAGTTATCCCAATGCGTTTTGAGTTCAAATTCAGAACTCGCTTTGTGCACTCATAACCTACCTCTACTTGTAAACTGTTCAATAGTCACACATTAGGCGTTCACGAATGACGACTTGGTCCTGTTGGAGATATTACATAGTAAGACGTCGTTCTAATGGCACACACAAAATTCATATATCTATATATATAAAAATGAAACCCGTTTTCCGTTGTCACGACATAACATGAAAACGGCCTGACCGATTTGGCTAATTTTGGTCTTGAATTATTTGTGGAAGTCCAGAGAAGGTTTAAAAGGTATAAAAATATGAAAATTCTCGGAATTAAATAAAAATAACAATTTTGTTTTCCCTTTGACGTGTCCCCCGTCGGACGGATTCCTTTTGTTTGTTTTAAGTTTATTCTATATAAAAGTTTAGGTCTTTTATTTATCGATTGAGGCANGGAAGTCCAGAGAAGGTTTAAAAGGTATAAAAATATGAAAATTCTCGGAATTAAATAAAAATAACAATTTTGTTTTCCCTTTGACGTGTCCCCCGTCGGACGGATTCCTTTTGTTTGTTTTAAGTTTATTCTATATAAAAGTTTAGGTCTTTTATTTATCGATTGAGGCACTACGAAGTCTGCCGGGTCAGCTAGTAATTCAACAAATAGTTACGTGACATCGAATTAAAATAGTAATCAATTTAATTATTTTTTCAAATAGACTTAGGATAGCACAACCCTATTTATTCCCGTGGGTGTCGTAAAAGGCGACTATGGGATTCCCCGGAGACTGGATAGCAGCATTTTCCGGGTATCATACCAGCGTACTGCGATCACTAACCGACTTTTGCTGGTGGTTGAATATATTGTGAGACTTTACGGGTAATGCTACCCCCCCCTACTTTATTCTTACCGCGAAATAATCATACATTCGGGTTTCAAGGGTAGCACAGGCGTTAAACAATGCAATTTAGAGTTCGACCTCATGTCTCAAGATGAGTCGTGGCGTTCGCGTTATGTGGTCTATGGGCATCAGTAAACAATTTACACCGGTCGGGCCGTGGGCTCGTTTACTTATCTATACAATAAAATATAACATTAATATTAAATGAAAATAATTAATATAAGCAGTGTTCGTCCAAAATTCGTCGATTTGGATTAAAATTGTTACATATAAAAAAACAACTTTAATTATAAAGAAGTTATACATATAATTAGTTAATTATTTGTACGTAAAGTTCATCAGTAGATACAAAAAAAAATCGATTCACAGCCAGCAGAAAATGTTACTTAGCCGATTTGTTTTTTATTTATTTTTTATATAACTGGTGGTAGGACGTCTTGTGAGTCCGCATGGGTAGATACCACCATCCTGCCTATTTCTGCCGTGAAGCAGTAATGCGCTTCGGCTTGAAGGGCGGGGCAGCCGTTGTACTGAGTCCTTAGAACTCATGTCTCAAGGTGGGTGGCAGCTTTTACGCAGACGTCTATGGGCTCCGGTAATCCTTTAACACCAGGTGGGCCGTGAGTTCGCCAATCAATTAAAGTACAAAATAAAAAAAATTAAAAAAAAAACAATAGAAACTTACCCAGACAGTGAGGCAGAATTGGAAATGGGTGGACTATTGGACTCGAAGCCGTCTTTAGGCTTATCATTGGCTAGTTGCATCTTTAATTGGTGACCGAAACACGCAAGGTCTTCTCTAAACGTATCAGACCCTGGGGTCGTTGGTTTCTCATCGTCACCGGTGGCCATAGCCTCAGCGTCACTCTTCAGAGGTGCCTGCTCGGATTCATCTTCAGTATTATAAATTTTGAAGTAAGCGAACGTCAAATATATGACGGAGATAAAGAATGACGGTATCGGTATGGCCATCGCGTACACCAAGTTCATAGTGTTCTGCCACATGTCCAGTTCGGTGATAACCAAGCCCGGATCCACCCGGCTATAGTAGCAAGTAAAGTTGGTGCCAATAGGCCTATATTTTCCGTAGAATATTGTGCAGTTCAATATAGGAGGATAACCGCAACCTTTCACGTTAGGAAACAAACGGGCCCCGGTAAAATACCATTCCGAGTCGTTCCCTTGTAACCCGGTTGGGTACGGTTCGGGCAAGTCATCCCTCTCGCCCATATCTGGATAAGACTTATCAGCAGCTACCTCGTTCTCATAGTCGTAATCATTCCTGAGAGCTCTCTCTACTCTGATAAGATTTTCAACTTCCTCTTCAGTAACATTAGACGAATTACCCAGTTTATAGCTGACCCTAATTTGTGTGCATTCAAATAGATCTTTAGTGCAGCCCTCCCTGCAGGACGCCCACGTGCAATTGCTCGCTCCGACCAAATGCTTAACTTGGGTGGTAACACACAGAGCTCCTATAGGATCGAATTGCATGAATATCGTAGTGAAAGCTGGTTCAATCACAAATGGCACTAAGAATAGAAAGGCAAATAGGCTGAACGTGGCAAGAAGAACGAAGGAGGCTGTTGTGTAGAATAGGAGTTTCTCAAGAAAGGTCGGAGGGATTTTCTCTTCGTCGGCCATTGTGGCAAGGCAGCGCTAGTTGAGTTCATAGCGCTTGTTTCAGCTCGGCTGTTTCATTGTATTCTGTTCATATTTAGTCTTCACAAAACGTTTCTTCTAAATTTTCGTGTTCTTTTCAAGTGTCCCTTGTGGCATTCAATCACATTTTTGGTTGTTTGTCTGCGAAAGAAACTTCGATCGTTACTAAGCTACTTGTTTACAAAATGATACTTGGTACTTGAAAATCTTTATATTTAAAAGTCAATGTGTGTATGTATGTACAGATAGAACAAAACTGACTACTGAAACGACTAAACTGATTTCGATGGAAATTTCAGGGCATCTTCAGATTGGGCCAGCAGATGATTCTGTGAATCTTGGTAATAATAGTGATGACGGTAGTGGTATTGAAAGATCGGTCAGTAAAATGGGTGGTTTTACTAGTACTAAATAGAAAACAATGATTGTATGGATAAAATGACTGCAACTGTACCATATGCTTTAAATCAGGTTGAATTAGACGTCGATTTTCAATATTCAATCAACAGAAATGCATTGAACAAAGTGAAAAAAAATTGTAATGAATATTCTCATGCTAACGATCACGCTAAGCTATCTAGAAGAACTGGCACATTACTAAAACAAATTCTATACCACGACGAGCGAAGCCTGCGATTTTGGGCACAATTCCAGAATGTGAATATCGATTCACACCGGAATAAGCATCGCGGGTATAGTGATCAACAATTTGGAACGACAGACCACAAATACCGATTGAGAACTAGGTCAGTTTTGGTATCTAAATTATGCATTGGAATTCTAAGACTTCAGTCTACCTGATTCACGATATCTATTGATAGCTGTTATGACATTTTTAGTTGGTATAATAAGACACATTCAAATCACTTAAAAATATCATCGTATATCTCCTATTACAACAAAACAGAAGCTAGTATTTCTTTTATTATTTTTAATTATTAAGTTAAAAAAAGATGACATTGTTGAAATAAAACGCGATATTCGTATCAACTAAAATGTAATTGATATTTTAACGTTTTCAGACCTGTTAAAAATCCCATCATTTCCTGATGCCATCATAAAACAAATCTCAAATACTAGGTATATTCTGCTATAAAAGTATCAAATAATCAATTTTGAAAAGCCTCATTTTAATATAATAATTACAGATAATCTTTGACAGATTTTTGGAGGACATTAATTTAGGTAGCTATTATTTTATGTACCACGCGAAACCACTGCAGTGGGAGACCCTTAAGGGAATTTTAACTGAACTTTCAAAGTAAAGAAATTGCAATTGTAAATCACAATTCAAAGCTGTTTCAAACTCCTTCGGAAAATGGCTATTACAGATTTTAAACCTAGCCGAGGTAACGCGTCAATAGCAATTACAGGTTTGGAAGCAATTTATAATACTTTAGTACGAATTAAAAAGACACTTAAAGTGCCTACAGCATAAGCACTCTTACATAACCTAACCTCAAAAGAATTGTATGTTTTTCACGCAAGCAATCTTGAGTGTAAAATGAATTGTTTTTGAATTATTATATAAACGCAGTTTACAGATACCATGGTATGTTTGAAATTATGAAAACAAAAAAAAAAGTTTTTGGAACTACGCGAAAAACAGAAAAAAAAACATTATTTTTGAAAAATCAACATTTTGGATTTACATTTAAAAATACACAAAATTGTAGATAATTCAATTTGAATTGTATGGTACAATTATATGTATAGTAAAATATAATTTACGCATTTCGACATAATGCAGTGAAAACATCACAATGTAATGATTTTTTTTATTTATTTGAATCAATGTTGAAAGCAAAGGAAATACGTCGTAGGTTGATAAAAAAAAACAAGTTAAATAAAATCATATACTGGTGTGTGCATGAAAATAGATGTGTGCCACCACTAGATACCGTCAAAGGCTCTGTTGCATAAATCCTCAAACACTGTACCATTTTAATTATTATTTAGTAGCTCCACTATATTTGTGTAACACTAAATCATTATTTTGTTGATTTTAATCGTGTTTTTTTCACTAGTTCCTTGAACGCTACGTCTGTTTTGAAGTAGACGTGAACGCGTCACCGCGACCCCGTGGCTACTGGGCGCAAGCCTTGCCGTATCGGACTTATTGGCACCTCGTAAGCCTTTTGTCTTAATTCTGTTTATCAAAAAAAAAAAAAAACATTAAAAAAAATACACGCACATTTAAATTTTCAAAAGATTCTTTTTCTGTTTTCATTTCAAATTTAGATGTTGTGAAAATTTTGATTTTCGAATTGCGATTCGAAGTTTTTTTTTTCTTTTTAATTGTAGAGCTATATACTGTATATGATTTAAACATATAATTTTTATTATAGTGTAAAATATAAAAACAACGAAATGAGGTTATATTGAAGTGCGCGCGTCGCTTTGGCGCGATGGCGGGTCGATAGAGCCTATGTCATGTGCTCCGCCAACGTACGGCGGCAGACAGTCTTGTTTTACAATTCTACGAACTCGTAGCGAGATTTTATTGAGACCTTTCTCCCTTGCAAGTAAAAAACGGTTTCCTTAAAGATTCATTGGATATCTAACAAAGCTCGCAAGCCACTTTCGTTCTTATAGTCTTACGCTTTTCTAAAAGCGCTTGTACTATTTTTTCCTGGAACATTTTGTCATGCGTATTTTATTCCTTTAGGGCGCTACGGACGGCAAATAGTTTTAGTATTGCCTTAATGAATTTTCGCCTCCAAAATTACTCCAGATATTTTTTTGTTTTGAATACTTTAAAAGCTTATAAGAGGATATAGAATAATTTGAGAGGAAGGCTTGAAGAATTTCTCATAAAAATAATCCCAACTACCAAAGGAAGAACCAATATCGGATTGTCTTTCTAATACCGCTCATATTTTCCTATCAGTCTTCCGTAGTTCTTGTATTTTCCAACCGAACTCTACTCGCAATTTTTACCTTAGACTTACTCTGAGACCGCGATGGTCTTTCCTGCTGGTGGCGAGAAGCGATTGTGCGTTCCTGTTCCGAGGGCAGTATAGTCTTTATTAATAATACAATTGAGGTTTCGACCAGTCGAATTTTTAACGGCGAGATATCAATCATTTTATTTTTGTTTTTCCAATATCCATTGGCACCACGAACTGACCTTGTAATATAAGCCACTTAAAATATCTACTTTCAGTTTAACTTTTTTGAAATGTTTTCGTGATAATGTACCTACTTGAAAAGTATCTGATTATTATTTTACATAAAATGGATTTAATACATTCGAATATTGAATGAAAATACATACTTCGATTTGTTAATTCCTATTGAATATAATCGAAAGTGAAATATACCTAAAACAATTTTTTTTCTTTTTTTTTCTATCCCGCAACTTAGCAATATGTTTCTTCAAAAACTATATTCTAATTTGGTGTCAGATTTTCATCAGGAAAGGTTGAGTTAGCTGAGTTGTGTCCCCAGTGGTACCATTCTGATCTCCTATCTGAAAATCTTTTTGCTAGGTTTGGTAATGGAGGGAGCGGTTGCTGGAGGAACTTCATCAAACCTCAGCCACCCGCGGGCGCACCCTCGAAGCCCTGGTGCCCGTGCTGGAGACATGGTCAGATCGACGATACGGCGTGCTCTCCTTCCGCTTTACGCAGGTCCTCTCGGGGCATGGCTGCTTCGGGAGGTACCTGTGGAGGGTCTGCAGGATAGAGCCACATCCGGGTTGTCACCAGTGCGGGCATCCGGATGATGACGCTCAGCACGCACTCGAAGCGTGCCCGCGTTGGGAGCACCCGCGGCGAGATCTCATCGCGGTGCTGGGGTGGGACCTCTCCTTGCGGGCTGTCATTGCCCGCATGCTAGAGGGCGAGAGTTCATGGGAGGCCATGGCCAGATTTTGTGACCTGGTCATGGCGTTCCGCGAGGCTGAGGAGCGTGAAAGGGAGTGGGATCCCTCTTGGGCTCCTCAGCGAAGAAGGCGGGGTGGGCGACGCGGGCACGATGCTCCCGTTAATCTCCCGTAGGGACTGTTGGGTACTGGGTGCGGGGGCGCCCGGTGCTCTGCTGTCGGTTCCGTGGTGAGGCGGCGCAAGGTGGCTCCTATGCGCCACTCACGGTGTGTCCTGAGACGACGTCCTGCGGGATCTTCCCGGGGATTGGATCCCGTCCTATTGTCAGGATGGGTACCGGCGACGGCGAGCCTGCGGCGCGCATTGTGCGGTACCGTAGGTTTCGTGGAGTCGGAGTGGTGGAGCTCGATGGGGTTTAGTCGGTAGTCGGTTTTGCGGGGCGGGTCCTGCGTGGTAGACGCCGCGCAGCGCCTCGCGCGCCTTTCTCAAGGCGTAGTCTCCCGGTAGGAATTGGAAGAGGAGGAGGACTTTGGTCTTCCTCTTCTCTCTCTTCTTCTCTGGAGGCGCCGGAGTCCGACATAACCCGGTCTATTACCACTCTCGACCGGGTATCCGTAAATGGATTCCCCAGCGTTAAAAAAAAAAAGGTTTGGTATACTATTCCTTTGCAGGCGAGAGTATCTTAGACTGCCCTCCCCCTTCAGTTCTGTAGCTAGCTAATTAATGTCTTGGTCAAGTCGTGTTTGGTAATTCTTGCTGTATGTTTCAATTTCTTCCTACACTGTTCTTAGATTCAAACCCAGAGATTACATATTTGTTCCTTATGTATGGTGGAATATTGAACATGGTTCTCATTGCGTTGCTTTGAAACCGCTCTAGTATTTCTACATTAGTGTGACTGGCAGTGTCCCATACCTGTATGCCATATGTCCATACAAGCTTCAGTATAGTCTTGTAGATCATAAATAAATAAAAATAAAAGAAAAGTGTATAATTCGCTTAATAAACATTTCATTTATCTCATTAGTGTCCGAGATTTTAATTAACGTATAAATAAAGTCTGACTCTCACAACAGATGAAATATACTGGGTCCGAAAATAGTTTTCAAATTAAAATCTCAATTTGAAAAACACCAAACAACATCGGGTCAGATTATTAGTTTTGTTTTTCTCTCTTAAATCTTATATGCGGTTTAAGGGATAGCTGCAACTCTGAATTTTCAAACCATTTTAACGAAGAGCTTGACTCCGACCGAGTATTGAACCTAGACCATCTTGTACTATAAGTTCATTAGCCTAGTGACGCGAAGAATACTACTACTGATCAGACTTAAGTTTGAAGTCGTCTTGGCCTAAAGAATAAGACGTCCGGTGCATTCGTATGTAGCGATGCACCGGTGTTCGAATCCCGCAGGAGGGTACCAATTTTTCTAATGAAATAAGTCCTTAATAAATATTCACGATTGACTTCACCGTGAAGGAATAAGATCGTGTAATAAAAATCAAACCCGCACGGGTAGGTATCACCCTGGCTGTTTCTGCGTGAAGCAGTAATGTTTTTCGGTTTGAAAGGGGGGCAATCGTTGTAACTATACTGAGACCTTAGAACTCATATCTCAGGGTGGGTGGCAGCTTTTACTTTGTAGATGTCTATGGGCTCCGGTAACCACTGAACACCAGGTGGGCTGAGGCTCGTCCACCCGTCTATGCAATAAATAAATTCACTGATTAATTGCCAGTGTCAGAATCTCATGCAGAAATCGGGCACCCGGCTCTAAAGCTCGGTACTAAAAGCATGACGGTCATGAGCATTCTTCCAAGAGTCTAGCGACGAAGAAGATGATGTTAAGACTACAAGAGGAAGGGATGGTGGTGGCTTGGCGACCATTCCAGCTTCGCCAGGACATTTAAGCCAGCACGGGCTCAACCAGGAGGGGTGGGACTTGTTAACATCTCAAAAGCGTAGCCGTATTTTTCTGTGATGATGCTTCCACCCCATGTCTCAAGGTCGACGAAAGCTATTTACTTTGTGATAGCTATAGGTTCAAAAAACCTATTAATATCAGTCAGGTTATCTTCCCATTTATGATGGTTGAGAAAAATTACGGCGACCGCGTACCGGAAGACGTAGCGTGGATGTGGGAGGCCCACAAGATGGACCGACGATCTATTGAGTTTCGCGGAGATCCACTGGATGTAGGCAACGCAGGACCGGTCTTTGTGGCAAGGCTTGTGGAGGGCCTATGTCCAGCAGTGGACGTATGTGGGCTGATAAGAAGAGAAAAATAATACGGAAGTTTTTTTTATTAACTTATTATGTTGTCTATAATGTCTACAGTCGAAGCTGAGCCCTCCGACATGAGAAGCACGTGCACCATTCGGAAGCATGCATTGTATTCTATTAGCAGCGATTGTAACTTGCAACGCAATCATTAAAATTGTAGCTATGGGGTTATAGAATCAAGATCAGGGCTCTGAATTAAAAAAAAAACACAATAAATAATTTCCGGTAATGGATACGGCAATGCAGTGAAACGCAATGTTCCGTGACGCGTTGGGGCGTTCAACCCTTTTAAAATACTGGTAATTTTGTAGCGTGCGACTAAGTTGACGGGCGGAGCGATTAGCGGTTATGTCCTTATTTTTTGCCTACCGATATTAAAAAATGACATACGTAGTTTTTAAATTATCTACCATTTAGCGATAAGTCATCGTCGGCTAAATAATAAGATGCCTAGAATATTCACAGTTATGACTTTGTAGGTACCAAAAACTCACAGCTACCAGTTATTCTAAGGAAATAAGTACTTAACAAGTCTTCACTAACAACTTCAACAATGAATAAAAAAAAGTAGAGACCGTAAAATTTATTAAATACCTAATTACCTAACTACTTGGGAACTCGCACGAGTGGTAAACCCACTGAGTTTCTCGGCGGATCTTCTCAGTGGGTCGCGATTCCGATCCGGCAGTATATTCGGCGAAGCCGTGATAGCAATTCTCTCTCTCAGGTTGAGCCCGTGAACTCACCTCCCGGTCCGTGCGAAGTTGGAATAGCCCCTTAGACTATCAAAGATTAAGTAGAGGAACCAAAGCACGAGTCGACACCACTATCCTACGAGGGTCATCCGAGAAGCAGTCATGTGTTCCTGTTTGAAGAATGTAATATCCGATTAAATTACAATTGAGATTTTGATCTCATGTATCATGGTGAGCGAAACTTTAAATCTATGAGCTCTGGTAAACACTTAG